AGCTTTTCTGGGTCTCGAGTTGAAAGTGGGTGACAAAAAGTGCGAACACACAAACACACACACACAGACACACACACATGCACACACACAGACAGCCTCTTCCCAATATGTGTTTCAGCAATTTACATATATGCGAAAACGCATAAAAACGCATATTGTGACGAACCGATGTGCGTGTGTGTGTGTGTGTGTGTGTGTGTGTGTGTGTGTGTCTGTGTGCGTCTGTGTGTATGTGTATTTCAACACGGCAACCAAGCAAGTTCCGGCGTTAAAAACTTGAGTGGGTTCCCCAACCAGGTGCCACTCCAGGACCGTGGTACCAACCTTCACGTGCGTTTGGGTCCCACATGAGATTTAGCGGGAAAGTGGCCAATTCGGGAACTAGGAAAGCTGAGAGGCTGGAATTTTAAGGGAATGCTCCCAGCCGACATACAACTTAAAGATTTCAGACTCAATTCCCAGGTGTGTGTGCTTCTCACGTGTGACCCTGTGGAAATTTCTGACAAGAAAACTGCTAGTTCGGGGAACAGAAAAGCTGGAAAACTGAAATTTTGACGGAATTTTCCCTGTCTAAGTACACATAGTTGCACAATTAACTTCCTGAGCTTTGTGGGCCAGTATGTTATAAATTTCAGGTACTGGGATTTCAAAAGATCTTACTGCAGCACGAAGTACTGAAAAAACGCATGATCGCACAGGTCCGCCTGGTGCGTGTCTTCAGTGATTTTATGAATTTCTACATATTTAATGCATTACAAAATGCATATTTCCGAGAGGTTTGTCGGTGCATGTAATGCGTATTTTGTCAGTCTTTCCCAACTCATTAATGGGAGGAACAAGGGTTAAAAAAATATCACCGGTTTCTCTTCGGTTAAAAATTTATGTTTTGGATTTTCTTCGGTTATAAAATTATATTTTGCCGGAAATTGGTAAAAGTCGCTTACAGGAAGTGAGGTGGCACAAACTGAATGGGTGGCGGCGGAGGCACGGCTCTCACTTGGGGCATGGCCAAGCGATCTGGAACTAATAAATCTGGTCGGGGCCTTGTAGCCAGAGCTTGTTGCTGCTGCCCCCTTGTAGCTATATTACGCTGCACTGGAAACTGCCTGGGGCGATTGTCGTTGCCGACTGCTCGCTGTGCATTGAAGACGAGTTGATTAGCACGATGGCGGTTTTTTGCTCGCAGCTGACCGCTCCTCTGGCGACTGCTCATCGATAGTGTTTTTGCGGGCCTCCGGGAACTGGTATTGGAACTAATCAGCGAGGGCGGTAATTGCCTGGATGCGCCCATCGCAACGCCGCCGTCCGATTCTTTTTGGAACAGCGCTGTTGGCGCAATTGGCAGATCGCGGCGGCGCAGTACGTTGCTACGTCGCAAGATTCGCTCATCATTCTGCAACATAAACTTGTTCTCGTTTTCAACCAAAACTTGTCAATTTCATTTAAGCCGCTCTCGCTCGACTCGGCGCAAAACAACGCTTTCACATCTCTCGCGTTATACTCAGAAAGTGAGGATAAATTGAAGGAAAGGAATCGAGAAATCCTCGAAAATTAAGGCAGAAAACTGACTAATAAAACAACATTTTTCTAAGCAGTTGTTTGTGTAATCTGTAAGAGCACTGTAATAAGAGAATAATATTTATTTGAATGTTAAAATGTTAAAATATAATATTTGTTAGGCTTAAACAGCATTATTAACGCTGTTCCAAGACTAAACATTAATAATAGTGAAGTATGCTGAACACGTAAAACACTGAAACCTATAATATATAAATGGAAAACTAATAAACTAGTCGAGATTTTGGCATTTCAGTAAATCTTGTTTTACTGCAGGAAAAATTAAATTCTAAAAAAATAAAGCAAAACTAAGCATGCAAAGAAGGATGGTAAGGATGAATAGAAGCTAAAACTATTCCTCAAACAAAGAAAATCATCCGTTCGAGAGCAGGAACACTTTTTTCACCCTGTGCTTCGACAGAGTAATGGTAATAGTAACAATGGTGATATTAATAGGAACCACGGTTAGCCACTGAATAGCAGTTACCCACTGAATAGCAGTCACCAATAACAGCAGTTACCCACTGAATATAAAAACTTTGGCTGGAATACAAATAGGTGAAGTCCGAGAGTCTAGTGAATAGCGTATACTACGTGAAAGCAACAGGCACAGGAGCCCGAACTGTGCGATTTTGATTTCCCGAAAAGTGTGTACAGTGAGGTTGGATGTGCGCCATTCTTTTTTGCAGTCCTTCAAAATTTGGTTCAGATCAGTTCGAAAGCTAGAGCCGAGAGGAATACGGGTATGCGGTCGAAACGGTGGAGCTGATTAGTGTCTTGCAGAATTTCGTTTTAAAATATACATGAAAATGAAAAGGAGGAATGAGTTGGGAATCTATAAGTGCTTACCCGATGTGAAAGTGGCGGCAGTGAGGGTGTTCCCTGAGTGATACTCAAATTTGTGAAAACTTGTTGCTGAGGTAAAACTGAGCGCCGTGCTTCTTGAAACTGCTGCGGATGAATCGGCCCTTGGGGCTGCCTCCAGAATATGGTGTTTCGGAGACGCAACGTCGAAACGGTGCCGCTTCGTAGATGTGTGTTCCTGGGCTCGGACGCTGGGAACTGCTGTTGCTGGCTTAATGCCCCTGTAAATGAAAGTGATTATTTGAAAGCAATCTCATTATGCGTTATGCTTTTTTACATATTTATGAAAATGCAGAAAAGACTCATGCTGTATGTGTATGTGCGTGTTTGTATTTGTGTTTATGTGTGTATTTGTGTGTATGCGTATGCATCTGCTGGGTAATTTCAACTCGGCAATCTGGCATCAAATATGCAGAAATTCATAAAATGCAGTGCATTAAATATGCAGAAATTCATAAAATCATTGGCGGTGCGCACCAGACGGGCCTGGGCGATCATGTGTTTTGCAGTATTTCGTGCTGTAGTAAGATCTCTTGGAATCCCGGTAGCAAGAATTTTTGACATACTGCTCCTGGAAGTTCAGAAAGTTAATTGTGCAACTACGTGGTACTTAAACAGGAAACATTCCATTAAAATTCCAGCTTTCCATTTTTTCTTGTTCCGAGTTAGCAATTTTTCTGTCAAAAAGTTTACAAATTCACACATAAGAAACACTCATATCTGGGGCTGAATTTGAAATCTTTAAGTTGTACGTCAACTGGGAACATCTCTTTAAAATTCCAATCTCCCGGCTTTTCTGGTTGCCGAGTTAGCAATTTCCCCGCCAAAATTCACACTGTCGTACGCGTGGCGCAAACATGCATGAAGAGTGGTACCGTCATTCTGGAGTGGCAAGGGAATCCACTGGCAAATTCTTGCGCCCGAGCCTGCTTGGTTGCTGAGTTGAAGTACCCGGTCAGACAGACAGACAGACAGACAGACACACACACACACCATGAATCGTCACAATATGCGTTTTTGCGTTTCCATACATGCAAGAACGCATATTGAGACGGCCCGTGGTGTGTGTGTGCGAGTGTGTGCGTGAGTGTCTGTCGTCTGCCTGTCTGTCTGCCCGGGAACTTCAACTTGGCAACCAAGCAGGCTCTGGCGCTGAAATTTTGCTAGTGGGTTCCAAGTGCCATCGCAAGACCGCAGTACCAACCTTCCTTGATCTTTGATACGGCGTTTCCGCCACTGACGCGTTGTTGATCTTCTCCAACGACAATGACTAGGCTAAGTTATGGCGGGAAAATTGTTAAATCGGGAGCCAGAAAAGCTAGAAAGAGATATCTCCGACTACTTAGAACTTAAAGATTTCAAATTCGGCTCCTAGGTGTGCGTGAGATTTCTCTCACGAGCACTCAGGAGTTTTGGTGGGAAAATTACTCATTGAAAAGATTGTTAATTTTCAAACAACCGCCTGGCGGGAATTGTTCACATTCCTTTATGCAAATTTACGATGATTTACGCTAGTGAGCGCATCGGATAAGCGTAGTGCAAAAATCATTCATATATTAAAGACCTGACTGCTTCAAGTTTAGTGCAAAAACGCATGGTCGCAGCGGCAACCTGGTGTGTCCCAGCGTAGAACTGCACTTGCATACATGCAAAAACGCATAAAATTTCGTTGGCTTTGATAATGCTAAATGCTGCTTGACTTGTGATGACAATTGCAACATTAGGCTATGCTCCTAGCTCCAGGCCACTCCAATGACTTCTAGATTCACCTACGAGCTTTG